ACCCTGGCTGAGGGCTCCGAGCCCCCTTGCACAATCACTGTGGGGCCTGACCCCTATTGCACGCTCGCTGAGGGCTCTGAGCCCCCTTGCACGCTCGCTGTGGGGCCTGACCCCTATTGCACGCTCGCTGAGGGCTCTGAGCCCCGTTGCACACTTGCTGTGTGCTCCGCGCCCCGTTGCACACTCACTGTGAGCTCAAAGCCCCCTTGCATGCTTGCTGCAGGCTCTGAGCCCCCTTGCACACTTACTGTGGGGTCTGACCCCTATTGCACGCTCGTGGTGAGCTCTGAGCCCCCTTGCACGCACGCTGCAGGCTCCGAGCCCCGTTGCACAATCACTGCAGGCTCTGAGCCCCCTTGCATACTCGCTGTGGGGCCTGACCCCTATTGCACGCTCATCATGCAGTCTGAGCCCCCCGTTGCACACTCACTGTGAGCTCAAAGCCCCGTTGCATGCTTGCTGCGGGCTCCGAGCCCCCTTGCACGCTCGCTGTGGGGCCTGACCCCTATTGCACGCTCGCTGAGGGCTCTGAGCCCCCTTGCATACTCGCTGTGGGGCCTGACCCCTATTGCACGCTCGCTGAGGGCTCTGAGCCCCGTTGCACACTTGCTGTGTGCTCCGAGCCCCGTTGCACACTCACTGTGAGCTCAAAGCCCCCTTGCATGCTTGCTGCGGGCTCCGAGCCCCCTTGCACGCTCACTGTGGGCTCTGACCCCTATTGCACGCTCGCTGTGGGCTCTGAGCCCCCTTGCACACTCACTGTGGGGTCTGACCCCTATTGCACGCTCATCATGCAGTCTGAGCCCCCCGTTGCACACTCACTGTGAGCTCAAAGCCCCCTTGCATGCTTGCTGCGGGCTCCGAGCCCCCTTGCACGCTCACTGTGAGACCCCCCTTGCACGCTCGCTGTGGGCTCTGAGCCCCCTTGCACACTCACTGTGGGGTCTGACCCCTATTGCACACTCATCATGCAGTCTGAGCCCCCCGTTGCACGCTCACTGTGAGCTCAAAGCCCCATTGCATGCTTGCTGCGGGCTCCGAGCCCCCTTGCACGCTCACTGTGGGCTCTGACCCCTATTGCACGCTCGCTGTGGGCTCTGAGCCCCCTTGCACACTCACTGTGGGGTCTGACCCCTATTGCACGCTCATCATGCAGTCTGAGCCCCCCGTTGCACACTCACTGTGAGCTCAAAGCCCCCTTGCATGCTTGCTGCGGGCTCTGAGCCCCCTTGCACGCTCACTGTGGGCTCTGACCCCTATTGCACGCTCGCTGTGGGCTCTGAGCCCCCTTGCACACTCACTGTGGGGTCTGACCCCTATTGCACGCTCATCATGCAGTCTGAGCCCCCCGTTGCACACTCACTGTGAGCTCAAAGCCCCCTTGCATGCTTGCTGCGGGCTCCGAGCCCCCTTGCACGCTCACTGTGGGCTCTGACCCCTATTGCACGCTCGCTGTGGGCTCTGAGCCCCCTTGCACACTCACTGTGGGGTCTGACCCCTATTGCACGCTCATCATGCAGTCTGAGCCCCCCGTTGCACACTCACTGTGAGCTCAAAGCCCCCTTGCATGCTTGCTGC